AGTGGTCAAGGATAAGCTATTTGCTTGCCACAGGGATTTTTCATAAGTGTACATGGCTATTTTAGAGTAGTTAGCACGTTTCATAATTACTTACTTTCTTAGGCAAGAATACATAGGTTTCGTGGCTTATTTTTAACTTCACAAGACCTAGTGCTCACTCACTTGATTTCCAAATACATCACTTGCTTTACAGTTTCTCTTGTAAACTATTCTGCCAATTACTCATTTATATGTTTCAGGTGAAACATTTCTAGAAACACAGAATCGTGTCTTGAAAGATAGAGAACTTAAAATTAGGAATGCCCTGGAGAAACTAAGGAGAAAAAGGGCTTTACTTAGAACTCAGCGCAGAAAATGCGAGTTCCCGATGATCTCAGTAATGGGCTATACCAACTGTGGTAAGCAAAACCTCCTGAAATCATAACACAAAACAGCTTATATTGTCTAATTTTTAATTAGAAACTCCAGCCAGATTCTCATTTATGTGTGTATAGGCTTGGTATTTTAATTAGTTTTTTTAATTGTGTAATGAATATCTGTCAGTTAGGATGTAGTTAGGAAAGCAAATTAAGCTGCTTGGTGTTTTCAGTCTTGAAGACATGTTTTGGAGAAATGCCTAGCACCTATTGTGCCAAAAAGATTTTATATACACTGCTGAAGACTGCACTGTTAATGTCCCTTTATATGAATTTCTACTACTTGAGCAGAATGGGTACAGAAAAGTACACAGGTGTTTAAATCACTGTGAAGACTTGAGACATAGGAAGAAAATTGAGAGCTGGCTATTGATCTGGGAAACCTGGTTAAGGAGCACTGTACCTTTCCATGGATTATGTGTAGCATTCTGAGATGTTTTCCTAGGAGAATCTAAATAAAGCTAAATAAAGCTTCTGCCTTTTTTGGTTTGGTTTGGTTTTTTAGCTTGCACGAGTGAATTCTTACTCAAAGCATAAATAGACTTTGGACTAGACAATTTTTTAAGATTGGATTATCTTTAAACAATTTCATTTTCTTATTCAGCTTCTTTAAAAAAGCAAACCTATCTTACAGTAATTTTGTTATGACTTGTACACTCAAGGTTTTGAATTATACTGTGTGTTTTTCTTAAATTTCATACTTCCATACTTTTCAAACTGAAGATTTAAATATATATATAGATATAAAACAGTTTGGTATACACATAATTGAAATACTTTAATTAGGCTATATACTGAGCACTTTAATGACTAATTATGTAAAATATTCATTGAGTCAAATAAATGTCTCTAGTATTATGTTCATGAGGAAATGCCCAATAAAGACCTCAGCCTAATAAGGTATTTATTATTAGTGCTTCTCTTTATTTTTTCTTATTTAGCAAGTAAATTATTTCATTTGACAACAGAAGCACTGAGGTGTGTAAATGCAAGCTTCCTAATGCTGTCATGGCAGTGCTCTTCAGAGAGTCTTACAGGTGAGAGATGTGGGTAGGTCACTTTGCAGGTAGAGTCTTTGATTTCACAGCACAGCTGTAGATACCAGTATGTGATTACATACGTGACCTTAAACCCAATTCCAAGTTATAAAATGTAGGACTGTTTTTGGGTTTCCTAACATCATTCTGATCACAAGCTACAATTAAATGACTAAAATAGATGTTAAAATATATGTTACATCATACATTTCACCTGAAATTAAAATTTTACTTGGAATAAGCCATTAAAATCTTGTCCATTTTTATTTAATTAGGAAAAACTACTTTGATCAAAGCCTTGACTGGGGAAGCAGGACTTCAACCCAGGGATCAGCTCTTTGCCACTCTGGATATTACAGCCCATGCTGGCTATCTGCCCTCACATATGGCAGTTATTTATGTTGACACCATTGGGTTTCTGACTGATCTTCCACATAATCTGGTTGAGTCATTTTCAGCGACACTAGAAGAAGTGGCTTACTCAGTAAGTAGACAACTATAAAAATTGAGAAATGAAGTTAATTTCCTTTTAGATAATCCTCAGCCCTTCAAAACCCTTCAAAAGGGCAAGTTAATTGACATTCTGTTCTTAGCAAGCTATCTGGCTGACTAGTAAACTGCTGAGATAATGATGTAAATATCTTAAAATAAACTAATTTTCTGATACTTTATTTATGCAGCACATACAGCTATGAAGGGATTTCAGAAGTGGTTTATTTTGAGTGTATGTGTCCATCTCCATGATACCTAAGCCAGATAAAATATCTGAACAGTGCATCCAAGTGAGTCAAGGCTAGGTTTCCTGGGAGTTAAAAATGAAATAAAGCATCTGAAATTACTTGGTTTTAACTTAAGGTTTCCTGTAGAACTACAAGTGGGTGATTGTGATGTGATGCAGGCAGCATGTAATAAATATAAATGTACTTTAGCAATTATTTTCTCATTAAAGTTGTTTTCCTGTGCTATAACAAAGTGTAAAGCTGCATACATACACACAGACATTCAAACAAAAATCCTGTCTTATGAAAGGTAATGAAATTCAGTGGTAGTTAGATGCCAGAATGCTGCTAAAGATCAGACTTCACTATATAATATCAAGGCTTTCAAAAGCTGGCTGAAACCATCCTGTTTTTCACTTACTTCTAATTTTTCAAAAGTTTAAAGGAATGTCTTTAGCAAAGATGATGAAACAATTTGAACGCAAACGTTGATTTTGTTTTCTTGGTTTTTATTATGGCAAACATTATATATATCAGTAAGCATCAGTAATAGTATCCTGGGAGCTAAGCATAAGGATAATCTATATTTTGAATTTAAAAATAGAATTACACGTTACATGGAGGTTTTTTTTCCCCCTCTGTTTTTGAAACAGTTTTGGAGCCATTACTCTCCTAAAAGCTTTTTTTAGGGTTGCTCTTCTTAATCTCCAGTGTTTTTAAAGCCCTATTGTTACAAAGGCTGGGCTTTAAAAAAAATGGATCGGTTATTACTTGAAATCTGATTCTGTAACTAGCTTGATTGACAACATTTGCTCCAGGTTTGTGGGAGGCAATTTGTACTCACTAGAGGTGGAAGACTAAGCTGCTGCAGATTTTCTTCCATCATGATCTAAGAAAAACAGTAGTTTAATACTGTTTTAGTAGTTAATTTTACAGTGCCAATCTGCCAATGTATTATCAAATGGATAGGAAAGTATTTTACATGAATTAGCAATGCAAAAATGGTATACAGTGTCTACAACCTGGTAACAGGTGTTGCATATTGATCTTTGCTAGGATCTGATAGTTCACGTGAGAGATATTACTCATCCAGAAACCATCCTCCAGAAAGCAACTGTTCTGTCAGTTCTGAGGAATCTTAATCTTCCTAGCCATTTACTGGACTCAGTGGTAGAAGTTCATAACAAAGTGGATTTGCTAGAAAGGTAAGCAAGAGATGCTAAGTGTACTTAAACATTTCTTATGTTCTGGAAGCTTTTTAATTCTTAGTCTAGAAAAGAGATCCCACACTTCAGAATATACTTAATAGTGTATCTCAATCTTTTACGTATGTACTATGGTCTGAAAAAGAATTAATTATCTTTTAATTACAAAAGAAATCACTTGAGTCATACAAGAACTGGCCTCTGTAGAAGGAAGGTGTTAGTACAAAGTAACTCAGTTAAATTGTCCGTGCTTGGAATATTTTCACAACCTAATCTTCACGAACAAATGTGCTAGCAATTAATTTTCTTTCAGTTATAAACCCACTGTAGAAAATGCTTTTGCTGTTTCTGCTCTGCATGGGCATGGTTTAGAAGAACTGAAACAAGAAATAGAGAAAAAAATACTGACAGCAACAGGGAAGAAGATTCTAACAGTAAACATCAACTTAGAGGGACCTCAGCTAAGGTAAATAACTCTGAATTGTATGAAGGATTTGGAGAAGTATGAAACACTTAATCATTCATGTCTTAAATTTCTCAAATCATATCATACTGATTTTAAGCTGCATTAAGAATAGCAGAGATAATAATTTTATTTCATCAATAATCTATTTAATAATCAACCTGTTTAACCTATCAATAATCAACCTATTTAATCAATAGGTTTTACAACCTATTGACAAAAAATAGCTCAGTTGGAGAAGTGAAGCAAAGCACTTCATCTTTAAAGTGTTATCTAGATAGAAACCTTCTGACCTAGACCAAGGATCACATTTTGTGCAGTGTGTCATACTTTTAAGATGCTAATCTGCTTTTACATTTACAGTTGGCTCTATAAAGAAGCAACAGTTCAGGAAGTTGAGGTCATGCCTGAAGATGGCACAGCCAGGGTGAAGGTGATAATGAGCAGTTCTGCTTTTGGGAGATACAAAAACCTCTTTCCCAACAGTAAGATTTTCATGTCATGAAACTTCATCCAGTTGTAGGAGAAGAAACTGATCTCCTCAAGAGGATGTGAAATGAAATGAACGACCTGTTAGTCTCGCTGCTGAACAGTTTATTTTTCTTCCCCACTTGATGGTTTTGGCACATTTTATAAATGGACACTGTTTCAGAAAACTTCTACATGGAAACAATAAGAGCTTTGAGCTTAATTTTGTCAGCAAGTACCAGGACAGCACTAAATTTTTTATGTTAAACATGTTGCTGGATATAAGCTGAGGACCTCAAACATGTGGACTGGCATCTGACTTAACCTTCAGAAAAGTACAGTTTCTTATATAAATAAAGCTTTTTATTGCCTTTTTCAGAAGAAAATAGTATTTATTGTAGTTAAGGTGTTTCAGATGGTTTTCAGAAAATGAAAGTTAGTGAACAAAATATTGTTAGTTGTATAGAAATAATGAAGATAAATATGTGTTCAAACAGTATGCATGGATGTCAAATAACTGCCATGTCTTATTGCAGCGAAGAAAAAGAAAATTAATTAAGGCATTAAATAAAGTTAGCTGTGAACATCTTTTACCCATACAGTTTTCTTGCCTACAGTAATTTATCCACAATACCCATTACTATATCAGTTCTTGGAGAAAACAGTTAAGGTACAGCAAACCTTTTCACAGAGGAAAACAAAAAGAAATAAAAAACCACAACTGATCCATTTCTTATGTTATGAATTACTACTGAGGACCAATAAAACAGTATCACAGAAAGGAGAAACCAAACTATTTCATTCCATATTGCAGAGAGAGATCAAGTTTTATTAGAATAACAAGGGTACAAAAGAGGGCACAAAAGACAGGCAGAAAAACTTCTGCAAACATTATCAGACAACTGAATTTAGCTTTTGCATGTAAAGTGCATCTAAAAAGTGAGGTATATGGGTGAAGTTGCATAGTGAACTTTACACAATAATTGGTTTTATTTTAGTCCTGATGCTTGACATTTGTCTTGCCTTCATGATGATCTGTTACCACACAGTTCATTTAGAAAAACAGAATTAGTATGCAATGGGAAATGGCATAAACCTCTTCGTTTTGACATACACAAAAACTACTTAGTGAGAGGAAAAGTAATTACAGAGCTACTAAAATAGCTAAATAAAAGACCAGGTGTGAAATCCCAAATGAGCATGATAGAAGCCAAGAATCTGTATTCCTAAGGCAGTTTAGGTTAAGATCAGGAATTTGTTCCCTCTGTGTTTATTTTCAGTGTAAGGCGTACTTAGGCAACACCTAGTAAAATGTTCAATTGCCACAGACAAACTGTGTAAGGGCCTTGTTTTGGTATCTTTATCCCTGCAGAATTGGCATGACTAAGTGCAAATTCAATTAACTCTTAAAAATTCCAAATAATTTTGGGGCTACCCTGTTAGTAAAATAGCTCACAAATGATACTCAGCATGTTGGTGCATATATAAAATCATTTCAAACTGGATTGTCAGTGCAGCATCTCTGATATATCAAAGATATTTTTTAACTGTTCCTTTTGTTTATTTAACAGAAACTATGAAAAGACAAGTCAATTTCAGACTGATACAAAAGAGTAAGAATTTGGATTGCAAATAGTACAGAATATCCTTACAGTTATAAGAAAGATAAAATCTTACCACTAAATCATGCAGCTACTGACATTTTCCTCCTTCTTAGTCCTATGTAAAATAAGATTGAGTTCTTGGGACTTTCAGTTTTGCCAGCTGCTGCAGAATCAAAGCACCTCCAAAAAAATTACACCTATACCATAGTTCTCTAGAGACTTCAGCAAAGTACACCTGCTCTCTTTTCTGTCCAAAGGCCTCAAAACCCTGATGATGTTGAGAGACCTCTTCCTACTGAGCCTTGAAAGCATTCCTGATTTAAGTTAATTGGACCTTTATGGGATTCAGGATGTTTACAGTAGGGCACAATGAATGCAGACAAAGCCTTTTCAACTTTTCATAGATTAGGAAGTTGAGAATTAAAAGCTATTTGTTCCAGTTCACTTTGGCAGTGGAGTGGAGGATTAATTTTTGTGTTAAGTTCTATCACATCTTTGACAAAATCATTGTTTCCTATAAAGTCTCCAGCAATTATGTTAATACATTTTTTTTTTTGTCCTGGATACTGCTGCTTTATCCAGATTTTCAAGCATGGAAGACTCTGGAGTGTCATTTTCTTCAATGATCCAAATGGGTGTACAAGAATATATCTTAAATTTTCAGTAAGGTTAATCCCTGCCACAAAGAATTTTCCTGAAACAAAAATGAGAAAGTGACACATTAAATATTTTTTTGAGGAGAAATTTCTCCGTATTGCATTACTTTCACATCTCATTCCAGTGGGGATCATTAAAATACTAACTACACACTCTTTCTGTATTGTTTGATGTCCCTACAACTGTTTGCCCTTGTTGCAACTGCATGCTGTAGTAAACAATTCCTGAGCCACGCTCGGTTATCCACACATTCCAGTTTAGCTAAATTTGTCTAGTTATTCATTGCAGTCTAAAGGTTGTCCACTGACTAGTCCTCCTCTGTAAATTAAGTTTGTTTCTGTGAGGGTTGCTCCCAAACACTTAGCCTTCCCCCTGCAATGGATGGGAACACAGGGTGCACCCACACGAGCGTTTGCCTTCAGCTGGGGAGTGTGCCTCTGGAGCGGCTCCCCCATCACCGCCCTGTGCATTCACTTCAAAACCTGTGTCAGAGGTTCAGAACTGAACCTCTGTCAGATTACACTGCACAAGCACACCTGAGTGCTGCTGTTTCATGTGCAGCTACACTCTTCTCGTACTGCTCTTGTATCACAGAATCATTAAGGTTGGAAAAAGCCTTCAAGATCATCGAGTCCAACATTTGACCAAACACCACCACGACAACCAAACCATGGCACTAGGTGCCACATCCAGTTGTTTCTTGAACACCTCCAGGGATAGTGATTCCACCACCTCCTAGGGCAGCCCATTCCAATGCTTAACCACCCTTTCAGTGAAGAAACTTCCTGATTTCCAACCTCAACATTCCCTGGCAGAGCCTGAGGCCATTTCCTCTTGCTGGTTGCCTGGGAGAGGAGGCCAATTTCCATCTTGCCACAACCTCTTTTCAAGTAGCTGTAGAAAGTGATAAGCCCCCTTGTAGGGGCTCCCTTTCACAACAAGGCTAGTGGAATGCACTCCTCTCATCACCTGTGCTGCCTAAAGCAACAAGCACTGCACTGAGGAAGCAGCCTCCTACCCATGCGGTGGGAACAGCCACACCAGCGAGCTGGCCTGCGCTGAGGGCTGCCTTTCTGTGGGTCACACGAGCCAGGTGGCCACAGCCTCTGTAGTCTGTGCATGTGCATGCACTGACAGCACCACCAAGGACAACGTGGCACTCGCCCAGGGGAGGGCAGAGCGCCCAGCAGCCATGGGCACACAGCACACACAGGGTTGTTATATCCCATATGGCAACAATTGCTTGATTTCCCAGTTGTTTTGCTTTGCTGTCAGTGCCCCTTCTCTCCTCCGAGCCAACTCCCTGTGCTTACCTGGACGGCCCATCCGCTTCATGCGCTCCAAATAGCGGATAAGAGCACGAGTGGATGTTTTGTTTCCCCACCAGTATGGGATGGGGGGCCACAGCTCACAGTGCTTCTCCAGTTCCACTTCCTCTTCGTACGAGACTATAACCTGATGGCCGAGGTGCCACATGGTCCGCAGTGTTGGTACCACCTAAAAGGAAGTGTGTCCAGGTTGAGCTCAGCACCACAGCAGCATTCCCAAAGTCCAAATACTAATGTGTGGTATCACCTTGGCACAGATTCTGTTCAGATAAAGCTTTTAAATGAGCATCCCAGTAGGTGATGGGCTGGTTTACAAGCTGCAGGGCAATAGGACCCTGGGAGCTTCAGCAAATTCCTCCTTTCCTCAAACAAGTCAACTATGATCATGTAGAGGTCTTACACCTGTTTATAGGAAACCATCCCTGTGTCAGCCCTCATGCACAAGCCACTGAAAGTTTGTTACGGGAGGGGGATACCGAGCATCTGCTGCAGGAATGCAGATGGAGAGAAGCAGGAATCATTTTGGCAGATTCTGCATATTGATGCAAACTTGGCACAGTAACCATCAAAAAATACTGAACTGCTTAAAACTTGGTAAGACCAAATGTGAATCACCAGGAGCTACATTGATTCTCATTTCTCTAAGTAGAAAGTTTATGAAATTGGGATGCTCCTGGCATTTTTGATTGAGAGAGAAGAAGACCTGAGTCATATATATTCTATCTATCTATCTATCTATCTAGATGGGCTAAAAGAGCTGTTAAATTTAAGCGTCTCAAGACAAAATTACGTTTTCCAGCCTCAGAAGTTACCATTGGAGAGAACTGAGGCCCTCTGACTAGTTTTATTTGCAAAACCACCATATTTACCAGGCATTGTTTTTTCTGAGAATGTTGTAGTTAAAAACTACATTTGCTGCTTGTGAAAAAGAAATGGTGGCTTTCTGATGTTCCAATTAGTTTATTAATTTAAATAAAAGCCAAAGGCACTTGAAAATTAATAATGTAAATATTTGAAGAAAGCTGAGGGTTGAATGAAACCCTGTCAATTGATCTACAAAAGAGAGAATGCAAGCTCCCATTAGGTCAGAAAATATTGCAAAATTAAGGCACAAGCTACTTAAGCTACAAAACTTCGTGGCTGACTGAAGCTTTTGCTTTACTCCAGCTGCCTTTCTAAAGCTGGAACTTCTTAAACAAACAAGCAGAGATGTTCAATAAAAGCCAAAATAAAAAAGCTACCAGAGATGTGTATATGAACACATGTGCTTATTTTGCAAACAAAGCAGAAATGAAAATCTAACAAGGGATTTTTAAACCCTTGTAATTCAGATCAAAGGAAGATGCCTTGAATAGTTAAGACAATTAAAATTTTAAATGCAGTGTAATATTGTCACACTGTGGTCTGTGCCAGTACTACACACAAACCTTGCCTGAGCAGCTGCTTCATAAACACTTTGACGCTTATTTCTGTACAACAACAGAGATGCGGTCTTGAAAAACAGTAGGTAGCAGTTTATTTTAGAATAAGACAGAAAGCACTTGGATATTTGATGGCAAATCTAAATCTGTGGTCCTGAAAAATCCCACAGGTGCCTAACTTGCAATGGTACCACTAGCAAAAATGGTGATATCCATTGTGCTGGTCACTGACACCAGAGATATAAACTTTTCCCACTCAAGGGAAGCACTTGGTTTGTCTTTTCTCCAGTTGTCTTTCTCTATCCTCCTGGACACAACTCAGAAATGTTCTTTCTTCCGTGAAGTGATCTTAGATCATTCTTTCAATACCTTCATTCAACAAATTGCCATCAGCAACTTTCCCCTTTTGCAGTTAATAACTTTCTTCTTTTTAAGAGCTGGCCTTGTGTCTGAAAGCAAATTTGACCACCTTCTCCAGTATCTCTGCTCATCCACAACTTACATGCTCAAGTTATTTGGGGAAACAATAAAACAGTGTCACTCAGGTCTTCAGTTATTCAGCTGAGGCCTGAATATTCAGAATCCCCTAGTTTTGCTGAGAATTGTTCTATTTTAACTCTGCTGTACAAAACGCTTTGAAATGGTAATATCACATGTTACTGATACACCAGCTTCAAAGGCTGAATTTGAATCATGAACAGGGTCATCATTCTCCTGTACCACTCACATCTCCAGAGAAAACCCTCTGTTCCTGTGCATCTTTGAAATGTTAATTGTTTAACTACTAAAAGCTCCCACACCTTGTGAAAAACAGAGGGAGATAGAAGTCTCAGCTTCTAAAATCTAGCAGTCAAGTATTTTCTGATTATTTAAATTAAGGCTTTTCTGGAGGTGTGGGTAACTGTAAGACTGGTTAGGAGGTCAGCTCCAGGAAAGTCAGTGCCACCAGAAATGCACTGAGGGCAGAGATGCTATTAAGAGGGAGCTAAACAAGTTGATAGAAACCTCATAAAGTTCAACAAAAGCAAATGCAAAGTCCTGAACAGATTAACCCCCACACACCAGGACAGACTGGTGGAAGCTGGCAAGATATGTGCTTTGCAGAAAAGGACCTGAAGATTCTCATAGACATCAAGCTGCACATGAGCCAGTAATGTGTCCACCTGGCAAAGGTCAATTGTGAACTGGGCTGTATTAGCAGAGGCACAGACAGCAAATCAATAAAAGGGGATTTTCCCTTCTATTCAGCGGCTGTGGGACTGCAGCTCAAGTATTGTTTGCAGCTGGGGCTTCCCTAGTAGAAAGAAGTCACTGACAAGCTGGAGTGAGTCCAGCAGCACACAACCAGAGTGAGCAGAGGCTGGAGCAGAAGCCGGAGAAGAAGCTGGAGCATGACAAAACAGGACAGGCTGAGGGAGCTAAGTCTGTCCAGCATGGAAGACCTAGACAACTCTTACTGCTGTCTGCAAATACCTAAGGGGTAAATGTAGAGAAGACTCCTCAGATATTCACAGCAAAGGATGGAAGTCAGCACACACAAGAGAGATTCTGATCAGATAGAGAAGGAAAACACAGTTACTGTGGGAGTGTCAAATTTTGCATAGAAAAGTTGTGAAATCTCCATCCTTGGAGATAATCAAGAATGAGCAGGCCCCAGCTCAACATAACTTTGAAGCTGGTCCTGCTTTGCACGGTGGTGTCGGACCAGATGACCTCCAGAGGTCACTCCCAACCTAAACTATTTTGAATAGAAAAAAAATAATTTATAATTATTGCTGTGAAAACGCCAAAAATGGACTATTTAAATTATATAAATATGCAAGATGCACAACTTTTATTTTCCTTTGTTTTCTCTTTCATTTTCTTTTATTTTCTTCTCTCTCTTCTTTTCCCTCTCTTTTCCAAGAAAACTCAGGGCAATAGATTACAGTCGTCTCTACTATTGTCCCACAACTCAACAGACATAACAGTCAAATTTAATTCCCTCCTCCACACTGTGGAATGTAGGTTTGCTTTCTCTCCTGAGTTCTATCAGATAACAACTTATCTCTGATGCAGCAAATGGTACCTTTCTGAGGTTAAAAATGTAGTGAAAGTAGAATGTATCTAAAAATTTGGGAATCAAATATCTCACTGTGATGTATCATTCCTTTAAAAATGAGGAAAAAAAGGGATCTCATACTTACATTTCTAGGACACAGTTTACACTGGAAAATCGATTTTATACAGGCAACAAGATGATTATGATGTCTTTTTGTTAATCCATCAAAGTTTCTGCAGGCTATGATAACAACTTCCTGAGGATGAGTTTCTAACCACCTCAATATTTCCCACAGAATATCCTACAACAAAGAGGTATGGCAGCTTAGAAAGTTATCTGTGCTATGCAGGGGAAAGGACATACAATCCACAGAGCAGCGATGGTGGAGTAGACTCACAATTACAATAACGAAAAACTGTGTTTTCTAACAAAAAAAAAAAAAAGTGTTTCTATAAATATATAGGGCTTTTAATGCCTTCTTCCCTTTAATAACTTCTCTCCTTACCAGGGAAACAGGAATGCCCTGTGTATCATCCTGGGACAACAGGATAAACCCCAGGACATTGGGCACGTGGTAGGGGATAGGAGCTAGAGAGCAGGCACAAAGATTCTGGTTTGAGGATGAGGAAAAGATTGATGCCCAAGTATCATGTGGAGCTGCTGAAACTAACTTCCAGCCCTGCTGATTTTCTCTAGTTTGAAGACCTCACAAAAGAAAAACAAATAACTTACTCAGAAGACCTTGAACCAGCATTTTTAGGTTATGATGGCCCTTAAACGAAAGAAATGGCACTGCTTTTAGAGTCGTCACAAAAGTAAGGTAAATACCTGCACGGTAACAGTTGTGTAAACCATATGCACAAAGTACAAATTCATAGATGGATCATTAGCCTTGTGGGCAATCCTGAAATCCAGGTATCTAACTCCAGACTCAAGTTGCTCTGTCACAGTCAGGACCTGAAAGGTGAAACAGAAGATAACAGTTCTGAGAGCACAAAAGAGATTTGTTTCTTTAGTTTAGAAAGCTAAAAGAAGGGTACAAAGTTAGCCCTATGGCATTTTTCACAGGTCTTTCATCTTTAAAATGTGACTGTATGGCACCAAAATGCAACTTGGAAGCATTTTGCTCTATGACAAGAGGGATTCCAATTTCCCTGCAGCATAAACTGCAAGTACAGATTAGATTAGTTTAGTTGCCCTTGTTGTGTTCTGAAAGTTAAAGATCGATTAACCTGTGGATAAGTACGTGATCGCTCTTCACACAACTATTCATTTAAAAAACAACTGCAGGATCAGCACTTCAGAAATGCCATAATTTATTTTATTAGATCAAAGACTTTACCACGGTTGTCTCTGCAGACCTCACACATCCTCAACAGAAGGAAAAACAAAAATAGAAAAAACTACTGGCTATTGTTCTTTTTCAATATAAAGTTTCTTATAAAATTTGAATTAACCTGTAGAAGTCCTACTAGACTAGGCACTCCTCTTCCATATCCACTTCCCTCAGAGCACTTCCATGGAGTTTGAGGGCTAAATAGAACAGGTGATAAAGCTGTTTCCGAGGCAAAAAGTTCGAAATTATGTGTCTTTTCCTTATACCAAGACTCTCTTAGCATAAGAAAATAGAATCAATTTAAATACGTTTAAGCACTAATTTGTCTCTGTTCAACTTGCTAGGGATAAAAATTCAGGCTTCAGACATCATACATGGTACTGATCAGTACAAGGCATTGCTCTTGAACATCCAAATTCATAGCTTTAGCACTGAGGCAGAGATAAGACACACATGGCAGGATGCCCACCTTGCCTAGTTTAACCCCTAACTTCCTGTTCTTCGGACATGAATTTAGCCTCCCGAGGCTGTGCTGGGACAGACCAGCCCCTGTGCCCCAGGGGGTGCAGTGGGTCTGGCCAACAGCTCCTCCTGTGCCTGCTTGGCCTCCACCAGGCTGAAGCAGTTGAAGGGATGATCTGTACGCCTTTGCTTGGAGTATGTTGGAGATGGGTGTGTACATGGCTGTAGGTCATATATAACCTTTGTGGCCAGAAAAAGCACCAAATGAAATAGCTGCTCTGAACTGCCCTTCAGACAAATTCATTTCTTATCTGTTGACTAGACAGGGAAACGAGACAAATGAGACTCTCTAATTAGTCTCCTGGGTTTGGGTACTGAATTAGGCAATGTGAACATTGCCCCCTAAAGGGCAACTTTTAAAAGGAAGCCCTGAGGAACAACGCTGCTCAGTGCCTCCATCTCACACCAGGCATCTAGGGAAGTTCCACAGCCATCACACAGGAGACATTTGTGCCCCTAGACTGACAGCCACAGCAGCTGGGGCTCAAGCAGGCAACTCCCAGGCACTGGGCCATCCAGGAACTTGTGGATCCTACCATCAGTAGGGCTCCCTGGTGTCTGCTCTGGATACCAAAGGGTGGAGTCATCTCCCCACAGAGATAACTGGAGCATGGCAGAGCTAAGGAGGGGCAGGATTGTAGCTGTGCCTCTTCCCTATCAGCACTGGGCCACTTCCTGCTTGTCACACTGGGTTTGGACCAGAAAATTACTATAATGATGTTAAGAGATTGTTTGTCACCAACAGGGTCACTTTGCTGGCCTGAAACCCACAAGTTACAAGGTTTCTAAATATTTCATTGCCTGAAGTCCCCTCAAAAAAAGCAGCTCAAGATAAACAAGGATCTGTGCTAAGCAAGTGCCTTCAACATCAGCTCATTGCCGGTTCAAATTTGATACCTGGTAGTCTCTAAGTCCAATTTGCCAGAGCTGCTCAAACACAAAAAAAACCAAAAGAAACCTTGGCATGCTTATTGCTATTTATCAATTATTCAGTTTTAATTCCCTAATAATGAACTACTCCTTCAATAAAAACAAAAAACAGAAAGATTTTTGTGTCAGGAAAGTCTGTTCTTTGGAAGAATCTTCAAAAATTATCAAAAATCTTAAATTATGATCTGTAATTTTGTCTTTAACATACACTTGTGAGGAACAAAGAGATAACTACTAGCATAATATTTGCACATTTTAAAAAGTTAACTAAGCCTTACATGATGGACCACACCTTCACTCTCTTAATCTTTATGGGAAAAAATCCCTTCAAAAAGGGATTCTTCTGTTTCTGCTGCTGGTGAAATACCCAGTATAGGTGGGGAAAACAACTGACATCTCACACAACAGTGATAACAGAAATGACAAGCAAGTACCTTCTGAACAAAGTGCAAGAGAATAAAACCCTCTGTTAGTGACATTAATATTAAATGTTATTTAGCACCACAACAAACATGTGGAAAAGGGTTTCTAGTACCAAAGTGGTTGGTATCAAGCTGTTTAACAAAACCAGCACACGTCCCTGCCTCACTGCATGCTTTTTCCCCAGAAAAGGTGATCAGATAGGTATGGCTCCTATCTCATACTCCAGAGTGATGGATTTAGGAAAGAGTAAATTTCTTCATATTAGCTGGAATGGAACTGTGCTTTGGATTTGTTTTGGGAACAGCATTGGGAACACAGGAATGTTTTTCCTGTTGCTGAGAAGTGCTTACACAGAGTTGGGGCCTTTTCTGCTTCTCACCCCACCCCACCAGTGAGGATGCTGGGGGTGCACAAGGAGCTGGGAGAGGACACAGCCAGCAGAGCTGACCCCAACTGACCCCAGGGATATCCCTCATCATAAGGAGTCATGTTCAGCATATAAAACTGGGGGAAGAAGAGGGGAACATTCAGAGTGATGGTGTTTGTCACACTAAGATGCTTTTACACACGATGGAGCCCAGCTTTCTTGGAGATGACAGAACACCTGCATGTCCATGGGAAATGGTGAATTAATTCTTTATTTTGCTTTGCTTGCACATGTGGCTTTTGCTTCACCTATTAAACAGTCTTTGTCTCAACCCACAAGTTCTCCAGCTATTACCCTTCCAATTCCCTCCCCTATCTCACCCAGGGACAGCAAGAAGCACCAGCAAAGTTGCTGGCTGGGGTTAAACCACAACACCCAAGTATGGCATCTCATGAGAGCACAGATTTCTGGGCAGCAGGCTGTTCTACCATTGCACACTCTCAGCTCTGCAGCACAAGCATCAACTTTGCCAGGCCAAGAAGAGAACACCAGATGATAGTTACCTGTGTTATAGACCACTTCATGATAATGGGGTGTACAATGCAGGGCAGACATTTGCTTAAAAACTTCACCAGCTTGGACTCATTGCCACTAACAGCAGAGCTTTTATCCAAACAGTAGGTCATAGTGTCGTGACTCCCTGTAGTATACAAAAATAAATGTACAGAAAATCTCATTTCTTAACTACTCAGCACCACATTCCACGGCTACATTTCATGTGCACACCTGACAGGCCACCACATTTGCAAGCCACACACCTATATTGTTTGTGAGTCTCTGTAGTTATGGCAAAAAGGTGGAATTGTCTCTAGAGGTTGCTCACCTAACGTTAATAAGCTCAGTGTGGAATCCTTGTGAAGGGAAGGCATTGACACTTTTCAATAAAGCAGTCCCCATCTAAACTACACATTGCTGTTGTTTGCCCCAAACCACATGGATCGTCTGTTTCAAATGGTGCCTTCCCTCAAAATAGTTACCTTGATGTGAAAACTTTTGTTTTTTTCAGAGAATAAATAGCTGAAGGCTGAATTTATCAATTTAACAATTTGTCATGTTTTCAGAGTTGTCCAAATGCAGGATTTCATTGTCAATACCCTCATCTCTGCATGGGAGATTATGACTGAAAGCAGAAATTCATGTTCTTACACCTTTGACTGGACCAAGACTTAACTTGGCACTTTAAAAACTTTTATCTTAAATGTCTGCTAAAAATGTCCTCCTGAACTCAACCCCCACCTCCCCTACAGAAACAACAAACAAGGTGGGTGCTTGAAGGTTTCTGAGGCAAATCCAAGTCTAAGTTTATGAGTGAAAGATGAACAAGATCCTCATTTGATGGACTTCAAAAATTACCTGACTCTTCCCAGCACAGGGAATTACACAGGCATCAGAGCCAAGACCAGTCTGCCCAAATATTTTATTTCCTTGAAGTCTTAATAAATCTGACACATCTCTTGCATCATGTTTAGATTAAACTATTGCAACTCACAATTTCATTTGGACAGGGAACCAGTGATTTTGCTAGCTTTTCTGTTCCATTATTTCTTCCAGTTTTATAAAGCACCAGTAAGAAAAGCTAATACCTCAGTGAAGTGCCTTGCTTGGACCTTAACAGACTATCTGCAAAGAATCTGCTTATTTTTGGGTTTCAGTCTTCTGTCAAACTAATTGTTCACTGGTGCTAGAAACTTCGTTCTTGAATTGTCAGTCTTACTGGTGACAGTGGTAATATTTCTAATGAACAAAGTAAAAAGGACTGGTTTGGAAATAAAAGTTCTTCAGCACTGTCAATAATAGTTTGATGTTTCACTCAATTTTTTTCACCTTCTAAAAGCCATTTTTTTTTTACTGCTTTAAACACCCAAACCTCACTCACTGCAGATGGAAGATCAATATTGAGGGCATGCAATAGAAGAAGTGTGTGTTAGAAGATGTAAGAGTCAAACTATTAAATACCCATGGGCCAAATCCAAGTCTGAGAGAGATGAGCAGGATTCCATTGATGGGTGTTGCACCTATGGACGCCAACCAGCAAACAGATAGTAATGTTTTACTCACAAGTCTTTTGTGATGTCAAGAGTTACAGTAATGAAAGGAAGATGGGTACATCCATGACACAACATATATGATGTAAAGATAGTGAGCTAGCACCAAGGTAAGTAGCTCCAGACCTTGAATCCACACCTCCCCAGCAGCACTGTGCTGCATCTGGTGCAAGCACAACACTAATTGAGATTTGCTGTTGTTTCCTCATCATGCCTTCAGAATCCACTGTCATGTTTCTTGCATGCCTTCTATGAGATAAACTTCCAATTCCAAACTGGGTTTCCTCCCTCTGGAAACCTGCCAGAGCTGTCTTGACCTGGTTGGTCTTGATCTGTTTGTGTTCTGACTTGGGCTAGATCAGCTTTGTAGGTCAGCTGGACAGACACTAAAATATTCCAAACTAATAGCCTGCAATGCTCTGTAAAATTCCTCTAATGTTTGCTGAAATGGACTTGCCTTCAACTGTTCTTGATGCCTGTTCTCCCTGCAGGCATATTCACAAGAACAACAAACATTTGCAAGAATAACAAGGTCACCCTTAGGAGGAGAGCCAGGAAGGCAAACAAACCCGTCAGCAGGTTCTCCACTTTCTATGATGGCCAAGAAATGCCAGGTGAAACTCTTACAGAAACAACATGGCTCATTTTCCAGCAAAACAAAATCCCACTGAGAGTGCTACCGACTTTTGAATGATTCTTGCAATATGAATAAAAATAGGAAAAGAGAAGACTATTACCTTCTTTCATCAGTCATAAGACTGATACATATTTTTCTTTTTTCCTCTCTTGATGGTAAAGTAAGAAATCTAGAGGGTTTTTTTTAATAGCACCTGTCCTAGTCCTCTTACATAGGCTTTATCCTAAACAGAGATGTGCTTGTTTAGAAGTTAACATCCATTCAAATTATGTTATATAAGAAGTCCCTATGAAATAAGTTATTGAGTTCTCCCAGGGCTCTACCCACTGAAGACAAGACTTCACACTATCTCTAAATATATGCCTTTCCTAAAATTAACCTATGATCCTGTGGCCTACATAAAGCGTTCAACTACAGGCTGTGCTACTTTCCTCCCAAACTACCTGTTACATCTAGGTGTGAGAGAAAACATGGGCTAGACTTTTCTTTAGTACCATTTTTGATGTGTAGGCAAAGGGAATCATTCAAGAGCTGATGGTCCTTCAGTGCCTCCCCATGTGTCAGTGAAATCACATTACACCATAAATCTTTTTGACAGAATGAGAGAGGGGGAAAAAAATCAAGGCAGCAGAAAGAAGCAATAATATGGCCAAAGAAAGAGTAATAATACACAGGTATCATTTAAATGCATTTACACATAACATAAAAAAATCAGTTTTTATAAGGTGGATTATGCAGAAAAATAGCAATCTACATTAATGAAAACATGTTAATTACAAGTCTAAATTCTCCTTTTTCTGCAACTTCACAGCCTCTTTTAGGCAGTACAAAGAAACAAATAATAATGTAAAATATTCATTCTCCCCTCCTGGAAACATTTTATTATATAGGAAGTCACAAGAATTATATCATTGTATCATTGTATAAGTATTGTATCATTGCCCAAAAAAGCCAATTCTTAGATTGTTAATAGTATCTGACAAGATGACACAAAGTGCCTCTTTCTTTTAATTTCTAAAAAACAATAAAAAATTCCTTTTTTACCGCTCCCCTCTAAGAAACCCCGAACATTACAGACCAACATTATTCACATTATTCACCACACAAACCCTCCCCCACACACTGACCCAAATAATAAACATAGCCATCCTGAAATGGGACAAACAGGATATTCCAATGCTTAAATGGCAAGCTAGAAAAACAGTGGAGAACAAAAGTAAATCTTTACCTGGGAGAGCTAAGTTATAGAGGGGAATATCCCAGAGTTTCTCTGGTAACCGTGACATCCATTGACCATTTTCATGACACACATGAACAAAGGTTTGCAAAGGGCCTTCCATTAGTATGTGCTCTGGGACTTCATAGGGTGTTCTGGGAGGGAAAAAGAAAAGGAAAACAATAAACCATTCCATATACTGCAGCTGAATTAATGACATTGCACCTGTGTAGGGTGGATTTATAAATGTTTAAAAATGCCAACCCTTCTCTCAAGTAGTTGCAGCAAAATGTCAAGAGCTTGTCAGCCACGACACATGCTGCTTTTGATAACACTGTCTCCCAGCACAATGCCAAAGGGTGGGTTCCAGCTTCAGGCTTGCAAACTGACCAAGTGAGACAAAAAAAACGAGCCAAGACAAATATACGCAGTTTCATTAGTATGGAGAAATTATTGTCTGTATTGGCTCTTGTGAAATCACAAGGAGAACCTCCCTCCAGTGTGAAACTGCATCCATTCCTTTACCCTTTGCAGTCCCAGGAGCATGGCAAGGGGACTGATGGCAGGGCTGGGACAGAGGCTGGGTCTGCTATCCTCAGGTCCCCAGAGAACACTTACCTTGAAGGATCAAATCAGGTGCCACAGGAGTACCTCTGTGAAAAGTCTTTACAAAGATGTCAGGACACTGGATTTGTAGGTCATGCCAGCATCTGGGGTCAAAGAGGAAAACTTTACTCTCCTTATTCCTGCTTTGTAGAACACCAAAATGTTTTTATCATCCCTACAAGTCCACAATCATAAGTACTTCAGTTTGTATTTCAGACCTTCCTGAAACTACTCTGGAACTGTTCTTCTCTGGGATCTTCTGAAAAATTTGCAGTGGTCATGGAGGAGTGCCAGTGGATGGAACCCAGATGAGAAATCATGGCATCACCAGGGCCTACTAGAGTTATTCTGTTCCTTTTTCATTCTATGATATCCTCGATTGTGCAGAACACAAAAATAAGTTCTCTGTGTTGTGGGGTTTTTTTCCCTAGGATGTTCTTAGTTCAGTTGGTGGAGTGGGGATTAGAGCCATCCTTCTTTTCACTGCTTTCAAGGCTTTGTCACAGCTAATGTGAGAGTTTCTTTTAGATCACGGCACAGTGATCACCATCATTAATATCACAGCTTCCTTTTTAATGCCTTTTTTAAAAGCTGCCAATATAAATGATTCCTTCTTGTCTGCTACAGCAACCATAGTCAGATAATGTATTTTTGAGATTTTGTACTCTGCAAATACCCTTTTGCTGCACCTTAGCACATTCATTCAAGATTGTTTCTCCTAGGAGGTGGTTCGTTTTTCCATATATACTGGAGAGCCACAGCACTTATATGAGGAACATTTCCTTAAACATGGTGCAATAGATTTTTTTCTTCTTTTGACAGTCATGTAGGGTCATCTGAAAGGCAACTTTAGGAATTGCATTCCTAAGTTTTGTGTCCATACCACACAAAAAGATACAATCTGCTTTTATACTGGTGCATGCACATAGCATCACTTGCCTAGCCTGCCTTGCTGTGCCTTTGGTCTCTATATGCTATATCAGCTAACCTTATTCTTAGAAAGGTGTTCAGGTATCAGGCAGATCAACTCACCCATCCTCTGGCTCTGCACTTTAACATGATGAGCTTCTGTCCCCCACACACCCTTGTTCAGACAACAGATGTCTGCAGCTCATTTTGTCACCTTTTGCTGCTTCACACTTTATCAGAATGCACAGCACTGCTCACCCTCAGCTGCTCTGCTCTAGTCTCTGTACAAAGTAGCATCAGTGTAGACAGGGGCTGCAGGTGTTTAAAACAGCATTGCTGTTTAATAAAGACTGAATAGTCTCTCTTCTCCAGCTCTGAAGCTGACAGGACCTGTGAGACAGCATATGGCAACACTTACGCAGGTCCTGTATGCAGACTAGAAACCTGAGTGTAAGCATCGCTTTTCCTCTTTTGAGGGGGGAAATTTGCAGCTCCCTTTCCAGAGCCTTTGGGGCTCTCCAATTCCCCAAAGCCACCCACACTCCCCTAGAGCAGGTGCCCATCATCCCGAGGGCCCATAGCAAAACCCTTAAATCTTGCCGGGAGCCTGTCCCAGCACAGGCTCCTCTGCACTGACAGCACCCCCAGGATGTGTCCAAGGGTGCAGATTTGCCTGCTGCCACTCTCCTCCTGCCGAGTGCTCTCACTGCCTTGCTAGGGCTAAGACAGGCACAGCCTCACAGCTGACAGAAAAAAGCTGGGTTTCTGCCATGGTGGTGCCTTTCTCCCTTTCACCATGGAGTCAGGATAGCACATGCTGAGGAAGTCCCTGCAGAGGCATCAAGCCTTTGTTGAGGTGTACAAGAGACCCCTTGGCATTACCCAGCCAGAGCAGAGGCCCCAGGTTCTCAGCTGCCATCATTGCCCCTGCAGGACCAGGACACTTCCCAAAGAGTGTCCTGCTGGGCCTGAGGAAAGCTGGCAGAGAGCAGAAACTGCAAGACCAAGACATGCTGCAGTCCTGCAAACATACGTGAGAGATGCACATCTCATTCTCCTCTTCCTCTTCTTCTCCCACAGTACCCTGAGACTGGGGATGGCAGCCACTGGCAGTGCATGGCAGGAGCTGCACCGTTACCATCTGCTGATCAAGTGCTGTACAAAAGTGACTGGACCAGGTTTTCTCCTGCTCTCCCACGCAATGCCCTAGATGTTCACACTGCCACCTCTAAACTCAGCTGCTGCCTCATGTTTGAGGGGCAGCCTTTAGGGAGAAACCAAGGCTTGTCTGGAGAAATGAAATTGCGATCATTAGCTGCCACCTCTCATGACTAAATGTTAAACTTCACAAATGAGAACTGTTTCTTTATTCCACTTTTCCAGACATGTAATTTCATCCTACACAGAGTACTGTGATAAACTGCTGTGTTGGGTTTGCATGGCATGATTTTGGTAGTGAGGGAGTCTACAGAGCTGATTTCTGTGAGAAGCTGTCAGGAACTTTCCCCATGTAGAACGGAGCCAATGCCAGCTGGCTCCAGGGCGGGCCTGATGCTCAACAAAGTTGAACTCATCAACAACAGTGGTAGAGACTCTGGGGAAACAGATTCATGAAGGGGAAAAAAGTTGCTGTGCAACAGCAGCCAGGAAAAGAGGAATACAGATATGTGAGAGAGATACCAGGGCCAGTGTAGAAGGAGAGGGAAGAGGTGCTCCAGGCACTGGAGCAGAGATTTGCCTGCAGTCCATGGTGAAGACCATGGTGAGGCAGCTGTGTCCCTGCAGCCCATGGAGATCCATTCTGGAGCAAAGTCCTCCACCTGCAGCCTGTGGAGGGTCCCACACTAGAGCTGGTGAATGCCCAAAGGAGCCTGTGATCCCATGGGAAATCCATGTGGGAGCAGGCTCCTGGGCAGAACCTGTGGTCTCATGGATAGAGGAGCCCATGCTGGAACACGTTTGCTAGCAGGACCTGTGACCCCATGGAAAGGACCCACACTGGAGCAGATCATGAAGAACTGCAGCTCATGGGAAGGACTGATATTGGAGAAATTTGTGGAGGATGTCTCCATAGGAGGGACCCCACACTGGAGCAGAAGAGTGCAAGAGGTCCTCCCCCTGAGAAGGAAGGATTAGCAGAGACAATACTTGATGAACTGACCTCAGCCCCCATTCCACATCCCCCTGTGCCCCTGCAGGTAGAAGAGGTAGAGGAAAATCAGAAGTGAAGTTGCACCCTGGAAGAATGGAGGGGCGGGAGGTAGGTGTTCTAAGATTTTCTGGTTATTTCTCATTACCTTACTCTGATTTCATTGGTAAGGAGTTCAGTGTTTTCCCCAATACAAGTCTGCTTTGTCTGTGATGGTACCTGGTGAGGTATCTCTCCCTGTCCTTGGCTTATGAGCCTTTCATTACATTTTTCTCTCCCTTTGCCAAGCAGGAGAGTGATAGAGAGACTCTGGTGGGCTCTTGGCTTCCATGCAAGAACAACCCACCCTAACTACCCTCGCCCCCCTTGTTCACATCAGCTGTGGGTCCTCTGCATACAGGCAGCAATTACATTTTGAGGACTTTACCGGGATACATGCAATAAACAAGCAATAAAACATGCAGACGTGTAAAGCCACTGGAGATCACCCCCCTCCAGCCGCAGCAGACCGAGAGCATGGGGCTGACTGTCCCCGGCCCGGGCTGTGCCCCGCCGGAGGGTGCCTTGCACGCACAGCCCCGCCAGCCCCGAGCGCTGGGACGCGGCCAAAGCCCGGCCAACGCAGTTCCGGGAGGGAGACATAATTTAAGAACTATTCATGATTACATCAGTAAAACATATGCTGCAGCCGACCCAGAAGCTAAAAGAACCCTCACGGGAATGACAGGAAGCCCCGTGAGGAGCAGTACCCGAGCGGCCCCGGAGCGGAGGGCGCCGCCAGCCCCTCGGGGCCGAGGGGGACCAGGGCTCGGCGCTGCCCCCGCCTCCCGGGAGCCCCATCCCTCCCTCCCTCTCTCTCCTTCGCAACTGCTCTACTCACTCCGAGGAACGATTCCGTCTCCATGCCGGCTCCTCGGGAAGCCGTGCGCACCCCAGCTCGCCCGGGGCCCCGCACCCAGGCGGGGCGGAGCTGCCCCGCCCGGCTCAAGTGGCCGCAGGTTTGAGGAAGGTGAAGAAGGGGCGGGAGGGATGAAGAAGAGGAGGAGAAGTGGTTTTGGTGAAGTGACGCTGCCCGAAGCGCAGAGCCGCTCTCTGGATTGACGGGGCATTGCTCCCAGGAGGAGCCTGCGGGCAGGGATAGGCGGAGGAACCTCCAGGTAGCAGTGCATGCCATGCTGCTGCTGCATTTGAAATCTATTCATGCAAGAAGGCTTAAAATAAATATTTACAAATATATATATATATATATATACCTTTAAAGTACCTTAATTTCCTGCTCTGTCTGTCCAGCAAAGCTTGGCAGGCCCTCAGCTGTGGTGAAATTCACTTATGATGCCACCTGGCAGAAATCTTGGCAAGCTCTTCAAAAAGCTTTTCTGTGTAAAGAGGCAGGAGGTAAATAGATGAGTGAATGGCATGTAAAGGCAAACGTACAAATCCGCGGTGCAGTTCTTGAAGCAGGGTGTGTTCTCAGCCTTCTCAGACAGATGGAGAAAGGATCTCACCTATCCCTTATTGCTCCAAAAGCACACTAGAACACACTGTTCCCTAAGTAAAGAAGTTAATGGATAGAGAATATTAGCTCCCCTTTCTCCACAGGGCAGCATTCCTAAAGGGTCACCTACAATGGAACTGGGATCTAACTGCTCTGGGATCATACTGCAGTTGGGATTAGCAATACTTCAGGCTGCTGCAGTGTTGTGCTTCTTAATGCAAGGATGTATTTTCCAGACAGGCCTTTTTCACTGACTTTTTTTACTAACTCATTTTTGCATGAGACAGAGCATATATGAGAGCAAAACTTGCTGTGGTACCAACAGCAGCAAGATCAGGTTAACATTCAGCTAAATGAGTCATTTCCATTGGTGAATGCCAGGACAGCAGGGCTGCCTGGGCTTCAGGGTGATGCTTACACACCAGTTATATGTATTAGTTCAGGCTGCTGTTTATATATCAGCTCTTATAGAGTATCACAAAACTAGCTGCAGGTAGATGCAGAATAGATGTGCACCAAGCTATAGCACTAGACACAAAAAGGATGAAACACCAAAAGAAATTAAGTAAAGCAAAGGAGAAGGTAGGAAAGAAAAGACACTATTTGATGGCTGTGTGTTTTGTACCACCATGATAGAAGGTAGTTGAGAACACTTACAGAGAAGTGTTATTGTGCCCTTCCTGGAATGAAATAAATAGGAAAGTATTTAAATCAGAAAAGGCTAGGAGTAAAAACCAAACTTTAATTCTTCATTTGTTTAAAAAATTAACACTCTGAAGGTGTGACAAAATGACAGTCAGGATACAGTCTTTGGATACTACCATGATGAATACACTACACTCAGATGTAGTTCCAGTCTTGTGGAACAAACCTGTGTGAAGTTGCTTGGACTAAAAGGCAAAGCATGACTGTGGTAAGAAAAAATGAAAAGCTATTTTGCTGTGGATTTGAAATGAGTAACAGAAAACTCAAAAAGAACCATGAAAATCACATATTTTACTCTAGGGGCTTTAACATAGGACTTTACACCCTAGTAATGTGAAGTGTCTCCTGAGTGATGTGGATATGATCCTGCAGGTCTCACCTCAACAGAAGTACTCTATCAGGAAATCTCAAGCCCTGTCCAAACCCTTCTAATTCCCACCCTTTCAAGTCTGAGTTTGTGTTTCAGTTCTTCTTTGTTTGCACTGGAATTACTAAAGATGTCAAGAGAGTTGCTCTTGGTTTAGTTCTGAGATCAGTCTCTCAGGAGGGATTTAGGAATTCCTTAAACCAAGGAATGACAGGAAGTTAACAAATGATTAAAGTCCTGAATAAGCATGTCTTCTGAAGAGAGGTCAAGGCAAGGATAACTTTTAGCAGTGTTTGCAGAAATAAAGATGAGCAAATTTCAAGATGAGGAAGCAGGGACATGAAAAAAGCCCAAGATTTATCCTCCTCACAAAATAAATTTCTGCATTAAAAAGACAGGACAGAGCTCAAAAGGCAAAGAACTTATCCAGAAGGAGCTTATCAGGTTTTGAAGCATTCAGTAGTGAAGAGGTTGGAAGATGGTAGCATCTGAGTTAATCCAAACAGGCAGCTACAATCAGTATGGGGACTGATGGAAGTGCAGGTCTGGGGACTGATGGAAGTGCAGGTCTGATTTATAGCTGTGGATCAGAGAGAAATCTCTGGTTTGTTAGTCACAGAGGCAGCAGTCATGGAGCCTTAAACTGGATTTTATATATTTAAACACTTTGGAATACTAATATGATGCTCTCTGTCTGAGAGAAATCAGTTGATTTGTTCAGACGAATTAGAGGTTTACGACGTTTTTTTGAAAATGTACACTGTTTGAGATATTGCATGAGACCTCTGTCTTCCAATCCAGTTGTTTTTTGTTTTCAGATATGGATCACCTGTGCTGTAATGTATAAAAATATCACTAAGTACTTAAACAACCTTAACTGAATCCCCTGGATTTGGAGTGTTTGTTCTGAGGATGTTTGCAACGCCCTGGGCAATGTGTATATTTGTCCCTGTCCTGACTTACTGATAAGTCCTCTCGACCTTCACCTAATTTCTGGCTTTGGAACAAACAGGCAGCTTAATGTTTCTGAGAGGTTGTATATCTAGGAGCAGCAGCCACAATGTCTCCTAAGAGCAGGGGAATCATCGAGGAGGCAGCTTGCAGCACCAGGGACGTCACTCTGGGTAATAATAAGAAGACCTGTGAAGAAAACTGCAGCCCAGATCTTCTCAGAGCTTGAAACTGCTTCCCTGTGTTTGCTTCTAGAGTTATGAGACCACAATGGCTACTCAAGCTTGCAATGCTGTGAGCAGGATGTGAGGAGGATGGGAGGCAGTCTGGAGCCCTTCTTTGCACTTGGTCCTTGTATCAGTGGTGTGACTCTGACAACCTGGCACCAGATGGCAGGAAACCTTAGGCAGAAGCACTGGGGTGGGATTTAGGTTTCCCAAACACATTGCAGCATGCCAATTCCACCATGAAGAAACAGCCCTGCTTTATTTGTAACAGGCAAAGCCAGTGATAAAATTTGGTGGCGGGTAAAAATGCTACCAGGGTGGTTAGACGTGGGTTACAGTGTTGCTGAGAGGGAAAAATAGAGCTGAATTTTATTAGTGAAAATTTTAACTGAAATATTTAAAATGGAAGAATGTAGAGGGAAAAATCCTCGAATTCTTTCATTTTGATCCTTTCCCACCAATGTAAGAGAGGCCTCAGTGAGCATGGATAAAGGTGCAGACAAAATAATCTTTCTCTCAAACAGAAACAAGCAAGATTTTCATTTCAATTTAACTACAGCATTTATTGACAAGAAGAGTTAAAATGCCCCAAAACACTTTTGGTGCAGCCAGCTTACTTCATGTCTGGTACTAATAGTGCTTAAAACAAGATAAGAATAGCCCTTCCAACATGCACAGGAGAGCTGTTCATAATGTCCTTGTAGGAGGAGAAACTTAAGGGGGAAATAAACAAAACTCTGTCCTCAGACCCAGCACCTGAGAAAACATGAGCAGTAAGAGAACTGGGCTTAACAGAGGAACTGGAGAGACACAAAAAATTAAATGCATTCCTGTCCACTAGAAAGGATTTCGAGTTACAGGTAGGAGGGAAACCTCCTCATTCCTCCCTTTACTATTAATTTGTTAGCTAACCCTTCAAACATGTGGGAACTCCCTGTCCTGCATGAATCTCTGCCTTTTTTCCCTAGTTGGAACAGGTCAGAAATGAAGCCCTTTACTCTGATGTCCCAATCCCTGGAGAAGCTGAAGTGACTACCGACTCACACTTGTCGTCCGCAAAGGCAGCTCTCATTTCAGCACTAGAGGCAGCTGCCTGGGCAGGATGAGGCTGAACCACTGCCCTCAGAAAAGCAGGACCATCAACACACCATGCCCTATCCATGTCTTTCCTGTGTGCACCTTCTATCTTGGTGGCACATGATGGGGAGAAGGAGGAAGGACTCTTTTTTGTGCTTAAATTCATCACTTTGATGAAGCTGAGGGAGTGACTCTTGTGTCCTTCAGCACCATAAATAGTCTTGTGTCCTTCAGCACCCACTTTCTTCCTGTGATCAGCTGTGAAAATTAGGCTCCTGTGTCCTTGGGGACAAATTTCCAGTACTGGGCGAAGGTTGGAGGTAGCAGTGTCTGGGTCTTTAAGCCATCCAGACTTTAACTCCTGTGGTTCTCATATTGGTTAAGTTTTGGTGACCTTGGGTTGATAACGGATTGCTGGGAGATAACTGAATATTCTTCTAAATTGGGTGAGTTCTTTTCCCCCCATGCATGGCTGATTTGTTCTGTCAACCATAACCTGCCATGGAGCAAGACCTTTTGAAGTCCATGCTTCAGCAACAAAGGTGACTCACAAGGTGATAGAGATCAGATAAACTGGATCCTCAGTGCAGAGCCAGTCCTGTTCTGTGCCCTGCAGAGCAAATCTGTTGCAATTTCATAGTCTTGGTGCTTCTTTTTGGTCTCTGCCTGCATTATCACACCTATTGGGACACAATAGCAAAAGCAGGCGAGGACGGATGTCTTGGGCATCTCAGGCATGATCTGCAATGATCTGCAGTAAAAGCTCATCTTCCAACAGAACTTCACACTGTGAACAGCACAAGTCATCCACAGCAGAGGATTAAGGTGCAGAGCTGGTAGAAGATGAGCTCAGGATGTCAAGTGGGTCAAACACTGCTTATCTTGGATGTTAAAATCTACAACAGAAAAATGATGTAAGTTTTCTGAAGGGACAGATAACCTAAGAAAGTACTTCATCTCTTATTACATGTACTTATTTTATTGCAGGGTAACAAAGCACCATGTTGACCTCCCACACTACCACAGGGCATTAATTAATAGCATAGTCATTTATAAACTACATGATACATATTACTGGGCCTTTTTTTTTCTATCCACATCTCCTAAATCCCACTGTCCATTGGCAGATTGCTTTCCACTGGTAATTGTGTGAGGAATGTGGAGGTGAAAAATCGCACAAGGGCTGCAGCTACCAGGAGAGTCCCACTCTTGCACACCCAGGATAGCAGTTTTGCTGGAAGGGTTCATATAAACATTCCAGTTAACATTTCCCACCAATGGTTTGTGTTATGGGCTTTTTGTAGCCTGAGCTAATTAATCAATATTCAGACATACACTAAATATGCTCATCTTTAAACTTTATAATAGTAAAATAAGTACCCTTCAAGTTGCTACATAACATTTTTAGTTAGGGGATGTTGCTACCACTGTGTAGAACATGCAGACTGCAATGTTGTCTGGCCATAAAAGCAGATTTGCCAAGCCCCAAGGTGTTAACAAACCACCTTCTACTAAAAGCAGAAGCAAGAAGCCACCCCAATGCACAGGAAGCTCAGCAGCTGTCTACATGAACGTCACAAGCAAGGCACAGAGAAGCTGCTCTAGCAGTGACCAAACCCTACATGACTGTAGTTGTTTTCATGTTTCATTTTCCATAGCAATTTTCATTCTGTTGGACTCCAGATGCAGTAAGACTCTTGTAACCACCCCATGCCTTACCAGGGAAAAAATCCACTGCCTCTTATAAACAAAACTAATCCTAAACAAGACTTAAGTGTGAAGACTGTTTTGACAATTGGCTTCTCCATGGATTAGGATGTTCCTGATTGACAGTTTTTCTGTAAAAACAAAGCTGGATTTCTTTCTTTCATTTATATACCTCCATATCTATTTTACCTGAAATTATGGCAAGGACAACTAATCAATTTATATTAATAAATCTGAGTAATAAATCTCCCTTACAGAAGCATATAAACACGTTAGAGGCTACAGGAAGCACGGACATTTATGGCAAGTTGAAATACAAGTTTTTCCTGTTCCATGGCTACAAGAACATGATGTCCTGCCCACTGCTCATTGTTGCACTTATTGATTTTTTTATATGAACAGCTGTGCTAGAAAGATGAAAGAATTTCACTAAGTTCATGGGTGTGATAAGAACCATCACTAAAGATTCAGACTTTCCTTTAAATATATTTCAACCATTTCTGATCCTGAAGTGGTCCCCAGGTCCTCTGATGAAGACCAAACTTTGTATCAGCCTACAGTGTTTGACCCATATTTTCAGTCTCTACACCATACTGAAAGGAAGGTCAGGGCTCAGCTAGTGGGGAAAGGAGGTTAACAAAAAACCAAACAATTGACGATTTATAGGAAATAGAACTTGGCAACTAGGAGGGTTATTTCTTCTTTGATATGGTGGTTTTTTTTTTGGTTTGGGGTTTTTATGAGGGGAAGGGTTTGGGGTTTTTTTAGGGAAATGAGATTTATGCAGTTGCCTAATCTGATACAGTTTTTCTTCCTATTTTCTTATCCACAGCATTTTTTAAACCACAAGCTGAATTGAAGCAAAATCTTATCAGCTATATCATGAGGTTCTTGAAAACATCTCTTCAATGTTTTGATAACCTGTCTAACAGACCCTTGGGTTTTAGGCAAAATGCAAAGGAGTAGACATTGCTTGCCTCTTGTGGAGCTCACATAGAATTCATTAAGGTTTGGGAAGTGACCTTTAAGATCACTGAGTCCAGTCTTTAGCCCAGCAACACCATGTTTACCTCTAAACCATGTTCCCAAGCGCCACATCCACAGACCAAGAGGGCAGAAGGTTCAAGAAAGGGGATTTTTTTCACTTTTTTTCTACTGCCATGGTTAGAGGGGTCTGGTACCCTTGCAGAGGGCTGTACACCGTAGGGTGTACTTGCTACTGATACCTTGTCTAAGAGGGCTCTGGTGATTCACCTTTAAACATCTATAGGCCTTTACACCTAAAACCCTGCTGCATCACCTCGTGTAGCTGTGTTGCAGCACCAAGTGGACCAAGCCCTGAGCAGCCTATCACATCCCATCCCATCCCAGAACTGCCTGGCTTGGGCAGGAGGTTGAAAAGGAAACCCTGCAAGGGCTCTGCAGCCCCAGCAGTGCTCTGCGGCTGCAGCCACATTCCAAGCTGGGAGATGTGACTGGAAAAATAGAATTAGAAGGAGGCTAGTACAATTAGAATCAAGCAGACCTAGCCTCATGGGACATACAGTTTGCCAGACTAACATGATTTTTTAAATGGAGCTTCTTTTCAGCAGTTAGGGTGTACGCAGCCACGCTGTCATTCACCTGCTTCTCCTCCCAACATATCTTCTCTTTCTTCCCAGCTGCTTCTGGGTACAAGCTAGCAACCCTTAAAAGTCAGCTGGGGGAAAGGAGCACAGCTAGCATGCCCATCATCTAACCTTCTTCGGACTCCAACAGAGACATACTGCTACCAAAGACTTCTGATTGATTTCTACCTCTTTCCTAAAGACACCACATTACCGAAGACTCTCATTTCAGGTGCCCTCACTTTTTCAGTGGTATGACCATAGTCTCCAACCCTGCTTTTCTTCCTGCTGCTTGACTTTTTCCTTTGCATTGATGATCATCTCAGCAAGGAAACTCAGTCATCTTTCAAAATATCTGCTTTCCTTTTCAACCAGGGGATGCAAAAAGCTCTGCCTCACATGTCAGGTTGCTCCTTTCCAAACCAGCTTTCTCCCACTGGATCCTGTGATCTGCAAGGACCATGCCAACAACAGCTTGGGGCACAGAGCTGTTTCTCAGCTCTGGTGTTGAGGAGCACAACAGGGAGTGTTCCAGACCTGTCTTATGCACACAAATCTCTGTGCTTCTCATTTCTGTACAAGGGACTTGAGCAGGTCCCCCAGTTTGGACAACCAGAAGAGAAGAACCTCAGGACAGAGGCAGCCAAAGACACTGAAATATTTTTTTTGCCTGTGCGAGGAAGTATGATAAATTTGAAATGGTCACCCACAGTGGCTCACAGTAGCACTGTAAGGCAACTGTGAAACCATGAGGAAAAAAGGCCACAAGATACCACCATGCAAGAGCCAAAAGTTAGCAGCTGGAGAGCAAGTGGACAGCTAAAAGGGGAACACAGTTCTGCTGACTCTGCATTCATATTTTACCCACTAAGTGTACTGCTGAGAAAAGAAAGTGCCACATTCCTACTATTGCAGCTTTAAAAGAGACAGTGAGATTATTTAGTTACGGCTAATAAATCACTGCAGGACTGGGTGAAGGGGAAAACAATGGTCCTAAAAGGTTAAAAATTTTTCTGAGAACATATCCATAAGGCATCAAAATATGTGAAACTCATTCTTCACACAACAGCCCTCAGCTGTTGTGTAAGCAAAATATCCCCAAATGATTTCAGGCTTGCAGCTATTAGCATGAGGTTGAGAAACACAAGTTTGTTTGCTCTTACGGTCTCAACTCCCTTTGCTCTCACAGACAGAATTTAGGAGAGGGTAATTTAAAAGAAATAAAGGATACAACTATGCAAACACATTTATGCAGAAATCTATGTTCTTTTTCATTGTCTTGCTTACCAGAATGTGACACCCTAGAGACCCAAAAGCAGTGATATGCTTGTGAACAACAGGAGAATGGTGTACTTGCAGCTTATCTTCGCTCCGTATGGGCTCTGTGTACCACCCACATTCACCCTGATGGCAAGCACTGGTGGTCTGGATGCAGTTCTTCCTTCAGGTCCTCCTGTGTGGGCTTTCTACCAGTGTTTTCAAAGAAAAGCCAACCAACAATGATGCAGACAGACAGACACACGGAGCTATCTTAATGTCACATGTTACAGGAGCCACCCCAGCCACAGAAGTCCCCAGCTTGCGCAAGGCCTTGGCATGATAATCATGGCTAAGAGAAGTATTTGCACAATCTCCAGTTACTATTTAATCCAACACCTAGGGCAAAACATCAGGCTATTGTCTTGCAAAAGTGCAGAGTGATGTCAAGGGCTATAAAATTTCTTATACAAGCTTTCTCAATTCAGGCTCAGAAAAACACAAATAAAAACATGACTCATATTCTGACAGAGCAGCTGAGGCTCAGCCTCCACTTGGAGCAGTGCCTGAACGGGCATGTCCCTTCATACTCCTGTCCCTCTCATCTTGATTAGACAGGTCTCCCTCCAAAACAAAAGCCAACCATTTTGCTCACCACATAAGAAACAAAGGCTGGGGAACATGTTTATTTCTCCACTCTACTTAAAAACTTATCTCCAAAGGCTAGCCCACAGGCAACAGGCACAGCTTCACTTTGAAAAGTGTACAGACTGACAGGAGTACAAACAAAATATGGATTAATGGATTTTCCTGCAGTTTTTCAGTAAGCCTACAAGTCTTTAGGGAATTTCTTAAATACACACAAGCTGTCTGTGCAGGTGCCCCCAGGGGACTGGAAAGGAATACAGATATCTCCTTGTAAATTCTGAGGTATTTAATCCTTGTATGGGAAAACAGCGAAGGAAAGCTCCTTGTACTAGGACAGCTATAGTTCACATAATCATCTCCCATTCTCATTCTTCCCTGCACATAGTCTTCATTTTCCTGAGGGTATTGTACTCCTTAGCAGCATTTTGATTGCTTTACCCATCGGCTGTTTGTATCACCTGGAATTTCATCTGAACCAAACGTGGCTTGCACCTGGAAATCGTTCCCATCAAGAGAAGGATCAGAGCCACAGAGCAGAGACTTCGGTAGAGAGCAATTTCTAGAGACTAAGTCATTCCATCCCAAACTAAAATCAGAGAGACAACAGCCTTGAAATTGCCATTTCTCTCCACCAGCTTCCTTCAATGCTTCTGGCAACTAGCACCCCGTCTCCAGGAGAGAAACAGCTCTAATGGGAGCTAATTGGTTGCAGTTGCTTCAGGGCGTTGCAGACAAGTTCACAGACACAGGCCAACACTGCATGGACAGATGTGTCTGATGGTTCATATTGGCATATTGGATGATGTGGCAGTGCAGGGCAGGCTGGAGTCAGAGGCACACAGTTCACCACTGAGCCACAGCATCTGACAGAGACATTGCACACACTTTTTCTTCAGTTATGTGCTCATAACTAAACATATGTTTTCTTTAGTTCAGTGTTATGTTGGCACAGAAGGACAGACAGCCAATACCTGGTCCAACTCAGACCCTGGTACAAAAGAAATCATCCAGTTTTTATGGCATATTTAAAACATATGATTGAGGGTTTCTTCAGGAAACCAAGTCCGTGTGTCATTATTATGCCCAAGAACTGTGGATTGGTTGAAGAGTCACAGTGTTTGATTTAATGTAGCATTGGAACATGGCTTCATCATGAGCTGATTCTGCTTCAGGTCTTGTCTCAGATGTATCATCTATTTTCTGGAATATCAAATTCAGCATTAAAAGGAGTTTCAGTAAGAAAGGATGATGCCAGCAGAGGTCAGTGCATCACCATACTCAACCTCTTCTATCTTTCTGGTAAAAAGCAGTTCAACTTACAGATCACAGGGCTTTTTGAAGGGGGAAGTGATTTTAAAAATATTTATAAGTAACATGTTTGAAGAGGAATCATCCTAGTCACTAGCTTGTCCTGAGAATTATAATAGAACAAACAACAAAATTCCCAACTTTTTTTAAAAAAAGAAAGAACTTTTATGAATCAAGCACTTTCTGACATCAGTGTCTCCCTCACCCCTCAACTACACAAATATTTAAAGCAGATGCTGAAAATAAATGAGAAGTTTATAAAATTATCCTGTGTGGTTTAAATTATAAGAAAAGTCACTAACATGACAGGAGATGTCCCTTACGAACTTCAGTTCACCTTAAGACACTGTCTTTGCATCAACAATAAATTACATGGAAATGAGTGTTTGAAATGGATAAAGCCAATTCCTGTTAAACAGGAAGCTTGCTCTCTGCCCTAGTGACACATTGTAGAAAATAGCAACTCAGTGACCTGCTTCTTATGGAAAACCAAGAGCAAATTCCTAGGCCAGCCACCCTAAAACTGCCCTGGCAGCTTTGATGGGTGCATGCCAAGCAGAGATCACCTACACTGAAAAAGTGGTAAGGAGCTGACTCATGTTACTCCCACTCACTCTTGTGAAAGTGGATGCAAACAGACCTCATTGGCATGGGCAGAGAGTGGGAGAATGCAGCAACATCAGCAGCAGCCAGAGCATGAAAGATGGACTCTGAAGGGCTTGCTGTCAGTCTTCCTGGGCACTAACTTTTGCCTTCCCCTCTCTCAGCAGTTACTCCCACTAATTGCAATTACTGCAGTCCCCATGTCATCAAAACCCACCAGGTGTTAGTGGAGTAGGAGGCAGCAGATGGGGCTCTGCTGGGGCTCTTCAAATCTGCTAAAGAGTTCTTAAACAATCTGGTGTGTGCATCAGTTACCTAAGAGTGTTGAGATGATAATTCTGATGTCTCCCCAGCTCTTCCAGGAAGATGGTCCTTGTGATCTGTACAAAGTTTTCTCTAATAGGGTATGCTCAGGGAAGTGATAGGACAAGCAGTAAGGGGTATAAATTGAAAGAGGGGGAAATTAGGTTAGAGATTAAGAAGAAATTATTTGCCATGAGTGTTGTGAGACACAGGGACAGGTTGCCCAGGGAGGCTGTGAAGGCCCCAACACTGTCAGTGCTCAAGTCCAGGTTGGATAAAGCCTTGGGAAATCTGGTCTAGTGGAAGGTGTCCCTGCCTAGGGCAGGAGTGGGTCAGATTAGCTGATTTTTATGGTCCCTTTCAACCATTAACATTCTATGGTTCTGCAATAAGCTATGGATGCCCCATCTCTTGCAGTGTTCAAGGCCAGGCTGCATAGGGCTTGGAGTAACCTAGTCTACTGGGAAGTGTCCCTGCCCATGGCAGAGGAGGTGGAACTAGATGATCTTTAAGGTCCTTTTCAACCCAAACCTTTTCATGATACTCTTATCACGTGTCCTTGGTATCCTTTACATCCCACTCTCATACCAGCAGTGTAATCATGACATCACGAGCTGCAGAGAGGGCTATTAATTGTGAAAAAGGAAGCTCTTATCAAATGAGAGGAAACAAATTGAGCAGTATCAGGCTTCAGCATCCTTTAACAGAGATGATTCCTGTGCCAAACTACTTAAATTACCTCCTGAGAAGAGAGCTTGGAGAAGCCCTCCAAGCACTGAGAAGGTAGAAGTGACTACTGCCACTGCAGAGCCTCACTGCCCAAAGGCACAAGCCTATGACATCACTCAGTGATCTCCCAGGTAACATTTTGACCTTTTGACCAATGCTACCAACATTTGAGGGACAAGTTCAGATCACCAGAACACAGAAGTGGGGTTCAGCTCAATCAGCTTCACAGATACCTGCAGTAGAGACATCTACTGATGCAACACCCAGCTAAGCACTACACAGCTAAAACTCCTTTTGCAATCAAATGGAGTAATTAATTAAAAGTGTGCAATTCATCAGCCTCTAAAATCAGTCTGCTGAGTTACACACTAAAGCTGCCTGTTTCTCTTGACCACATAGTGAAGAATTTGTTGGTTTTGAAACAGTAACCTTTTATTTAAGGTTATCGAGATTCAGAATTGTGTTTTGCTGTGAAAAGAGCTCTGGCCCAGGTTGAAGACTGGCAAAGGCAACAAGAGCACACTGCTGTGGGTAGTCACCCCAGGAGCAGTGCCTGCAAAGTATTAAGCGATCCCAGGCTGGAAGACACAATTCCAGACGCCAAATTGTTCAAGGGCAGCAAATGGACAACCTTCCCAAGCCAAGATAGCACAGTCAAGTGTGTCCATAGTGTTCTTTTTTAAAGCCAAAGTGAGTCTGCTTGTTCCCTGCTGTGCAGAATCTGACAAAGCATTTGGGAGCTAGCCCAAAACCCACCCACCCATTTACAGCTTGCATGAGTCTTGTTTTGGTGCAGGAGGGGAACACGACATCAACACCAACTGTTTCTTTGACTTTCAGGTTGTCAATACTGCAAAACACAACACAAACTCAATAAACTGGTGCTTTATGTGGCTCAAACAAGCTACAATCTTAAATAAATTTAATCTACAGCTCTTTCAAATGGTACCTACTGGGGATGAATAGGTCCCTGGCAGAATAGAGGAAGCTGCCTTGCTGACATGACATGGCATTGCCCAGTTTTCAAATCCTGTTCTGCTGTAAGAAGAAATTACATGGATTTGATAATTTCTTATTGGCTGCAGCTCACATCCTTGGTTTTTTCAGTACTGACAAACAATTTGTTTAGTCAGGTTTTTTTTTTAACATTTTCTGAAAGCAGAAATTAAGCTAGTGGCTGAATCATACCCTAATATTCCTTTCTACTTAAAGACAATCACTATCTTTTTCTTCATGAGCCTTTCAAGGCATTTTCTGCCTATAACATGTTCTCCAGTAAAACATTATTATCCAATATTTCTTGTGAAGTTCTTTAATACCTTCATGAGGAAACTCATAATCCCTTGCTGACTTGAAAACTCTAAATTTTCTTTTCCCATTCAAAGTTAGCATCTTTACTTATATCACTGGTATGTACAATAATATACTTCAATTGAAATCGATCATTCTTCAATGAGGCAAAAAAAGTGTTATTACAAAATTTTACCATCTGACTATCATCTAGAAATATATTTTCCTCTCTTCTGAAGAGCTGACTAATTCATCTTTGCTTTCACCTTCCCTCTGTTACAACTGCACTTCTAAAATTATTTATATCTCTTGCAGACGCATCTTGTTTT